AATTAAAAAGGTAGAGTATTATCTTTAGTGATGTATCATAACTCATAAAATTTCTAAAAATTCATTAAAAAAGTCTCAGGGAGCATAATATATTTATCCTTTTGTTGGTTAACTATTGGATGAGGCAACTTTTAAAGAAAATTTAATGTGGCTATAAATGTAATATAGGCAAGGTTTAACCATGAGACAATCCTGGCCAGCGGTCACCATCACTAATTGTATGTGGGGTGGTCCTGGGCTTTAGCAGGGCTCTACACTATAGCAATTTTATTACACTTTTGTTGAGGTCAATCATTTTGTTTTTGTTACTTTTGTGGGCAGTAGCTTAAGCCATTTTGCTCCCAAGTATCTTCGCATATCTCCACTGAGGTTCTCAGTGTGACGGTGCCTGGTGGGTGCCTCTCCTTACGTTGTCATGGTTACCTTCCAAAGTTGTAGCCAGCCCCTAGACCTGTAGGACTGAGCCTACAAATTTTTGGTTTGACTGCTCCACCGTTTGTAATAAATTATTCATTGTTGGGGTGAGCTAAAAAGCTCGTAAGAGCTTAAAGTGTCAGTGAGTTCAGCGCATACTAGTCATGTGTGTAATTTTCAGGATATGTGGAATTGAAAGACAGCCAGGCCTACAACTAGTCGAAAAGCTCAGGGCTAGGCCCCTTTCTTAGGCTCACTTACAAGTGGCTCCCTTCAGTTTCACCAGGTACCTTCCTGACACCCATCTATTATCTATAGGTTTAATGCCCATCTCACTGGGATTGTCCATCAACATGTTGTATCAACATTTTGTGATTTTCTTTAACAGTCTTGTAGGACTTGAATATGATTCTTCCAGTGACTCAGACATTTCATAGTTTTACAAGTATACACAAAATCAAGATAAGAAGGACACAGCAAAATTTGTAAAAAAAAAGTAAGTAATAATATTGTTGTATTCCTACACAACCTTCTTAATTAAAGCTTGACATGCATGCACTCCTTGCCCCCCCCCCCCCCCCCCCCCAAAACAACCTTTTACCTTAGTGTTTTAAAAAAGCCGCATTTTTTGGGATTTAGTTAAGGGATTGTTTTTTGAGGTTTTTTTTTTTTTTTTTTTTTTCCCATTTTTTTGTGTTTTAATTTCCCCCCCCCCCCCCTTTTCCTTTATTTTTGGGGGAGTGGGTGATATACGTTAATTTTGCAAATTTTTTTTTTTTTTTTTTTACAATGCTTGACCTTATGTGTTATAAGAAGGCCGTATATGTAGGCATTCAGTTAAGGACTTGTTTTTGACGTTATTACTTGTTTTATTTACTGTACCTCTCTTTGGGTTGTCAATCTCCTCCCTCCTCCTCATTCCCTTAATTGAGTGAGAATTGGATGAAATGAGTTAAGCTGACAAATCTTTTACTTTTTTTTCTGAAACCTCCTCAATCACATGGTCTGTGATGTTCTCTATACCTGTCTTCACAAGTTTAGCCAAAAATTAGCCTGTTCTAGGCATTCAGATTGTGGAGACAATGCAAAAAGATGTGAGCAGGAAATATTTGTTTGAGTTTAATAATGCTTGATCTCTTTAGCCTTGTTCTATACATACTGCTGAGGGTAAATAATTCATCAATATATGTGTGTTTTCTGATTATTGATTGACTTTTTCGTGTTTCATCCTCTTCTAGGTTTTCAGAAATTGGAAATAGTTATAAAAATGAGATAATGCTTTGGGTGGATTTCTTTGTAAGGAATTTTTTTTGTTTTGAAGCCTAAAAGCATAAAAAGTTCCAGTGGATGGATGTGACAACTATGCATGTATGTTGCAAGTGAATCCACCTTTCCTATAAGTAAACATTTTCTTAATTTACCTTATTAAAATTCTCTAGTCTGGACTGAATAAAGTTATAAGCTGTATTGTAAATACTTTGTAAATATTCAGTCAATAAACCAGTGTTTTTCAAAGTGTGTAAAATTTGAGTATTATAGAAAAGAGCCAAGATATTATTTGTTTTGTTTTGGTTTTTCTTTTTCGGTCAGATTCATGTCAGCTGTTTGTATCCTAAGAACACTCCGCCGCACCCAAACTAACAAACGTCTTAGCAACGTAACTCAGTATTCCTTCGCTTACAAAGTCGCTGGTTGTAACGCAAAAAATATAGTTTTACCCCCAACACGCGCGTGTCAGCCCTGCTTTTTATCTCGCATGAAGAAAAATGTTTAAGGCTTGTTTGCAGGCATCGCCAGAACGATCATATGGGAATTGTAAATCACATCAATTGTGCTACCATTTTCACCCGTGTTTGATCCGTGTTTACGTCTCTTATATCGTATTTCTAAAAATAGGATTTACGTGGTGGAGGTGTGACAACCGGAAGTTGACAAAAATTGCCACGTCGATAAAATTTGCGTTGAAAAGCAGCAGCTGAATCGCTTCGAAATCAAAATAAATTTAATTTACCAGCAAAGACGTCTTCACTCGCTCAACAATTTTTAGGAAAACTACTGGAAAGCACAGATCGGACAAAACATGCAAGATACTCAACAAGATGGTTCGCAATTGATTTCCGGTTTAAAGTCGGAGAAGACGTTTTTGGAAACAGCGACTTATCCCATTCAGTTTTTGCTCAAGTTTTACGAAACGACAATGATGGAAGTGAAAGAAATAACCGTACAGCCATCAAAAGGTATTGCAACTTGGACGCGAGCTGATGTCGGCAAAAGAGTTGTCGTCAGAGAACCTTTGACATCGGAATTCGGTTTCCACGAGTTACCGGTGAGCGAGTCTGGATTGTGCTTTAGTGGTGCTTGGGGGGTTCTATAGTAACATTTAATATGAGAGAGTGAAAACTCCAGTTTCATGTAATAATAGGAGTTAGCTGGACAGATAAAGAGTTCGTCGCAGCTACGAGTTTGCAGCGGACCGAAAGTAAAGTTACGAAATATCAACATATATGTTCATTGTAGCGCGTTGCAATTGAGGTAAAAAATTAAAACGCAGTTAAGCTTATGTGGAATGTGATTAATTTTTTCCAAAAAAATATTTTTTTGTTGTACGTCATAAAACTGGTTATGGCGAATAATAGTAAATAGAAAAAGAAACAGATAAAGTTTTGTGAAAGTATTTACTTAACAAATAAATGGTGCTTCAATTTTTTTAACATAGAATTTAGTATAATTCAGGTTCCACTACAAAAACTTTGCATTAGCAGGTTTGTACATCTAATTTAATGTATTGGAGCATTTCAAATTTTACTTTTGTTTTCTTATTAAATACAAAGATACCACAAAAGTGATTTATATAATTCATTTATATTTCTAGCAGTTAATTATTTTTAACTGGCCCAAAAACTCTTCTTGCAGATAAACTTGCAACTTAAAATATTCTCTTACTTGGAAGCAAAATCAGTTTGCACAGCAGCAATGACATGCCACTATTGGAGCATGCTCAGTGAGGATAAGGTATTATGGATGAACCTGATGCAGCGCAACATGCACAAATGGAGCAGTATGGGATACCAGTCATGTCCGTCCACATACTTGGAGGCCAGGTCTGATTTGACATTAAAGCAAATGTAAGTTAATGAAGGCAGAAAAATAATTTAAATAAACTGCTTGAGTGGTTGTTGGAAGTGGAAGTAGGGCAGGTTGGGTGGGAGGGTCCCCTAGCTTTTTTTCTTGATGATTATAATCAAGATGATCACCAAGTTCCAGATCGAGGCTGAAATCTTGACTTTTGATTAAGAGCAAAAACTGGGCAGGGAACAAATTGCTTGCCCATTGGGGCAGGGATGGGAGGGTGATGTAGATGGGGTTGGGGGAGGATGGAAAAAACTTCAAAATGTAGAAATCTATAAAACAAAATAATATTCATTGTTTATGATGATGATTTGTGAAGTAGTAACTGCTGATTTTCATTTACAGGAAAAACTATGGTCAAGTCCAACTAGCTATTTTACCTGGTGGGGCCTATCAATTATGGGTTATATTGTTTAATTCTATAGGCTGTGCTAGTTTTCTAGCCTGCATGGCGGGCATTTAAAGGGGCTGAGGAAGGAGGAATTTGGGTGTGCAAGAGCGCAAGAAGTGTATGAGAAGGGGGAAAATTAGGAGCACCTTCAATGACACTATTGTTTTATCCAAACTGCCCCCTTATTGTTATGTAAAGAATAAAATGACTGTACTGTGAAATGTCTGGCTTCCCTCCCCTTTCTCCTTTTAATGTCTGCCATGCAGGCTAGCGCTAGTCCTCTAGCCAATCCTAATGTAATCTTACTCTTATTGTTATCTCCAGATACCTAAGATGCTGTCCAGAATGCAGATCCTTGAGAAGATCCAGACAGTCTAGTTTCAAGTCAGTTGTGTTCTACAACTTACAGAACTTGTCATCCTTCTTCAGACGGAAATCACCACGTGTTGTTATGTTTGGTCCTGGTTTGGAATGTGACGCAAGAGGTCTTGTGCGTAAACTCCTCCATGATCATACATCACCCTTTGAAATAATGGGCATGTTCCCTGGGCAGTTTGACGGTAAGTTAGATTTCCACTTCCTAATAATTACTTTTATTTGGTTTGTTTTTGTCTTTGGTTCTGATTTTCTGCTACTCTTAGGATTTCTCCTAGTTTAAGGAAAGGTCAACATGTAAAACTGCATGTTTACCTGATAAGTTGACCAAGTGTATTTGGTTTTCTGTTTTAGGTACAGGTTCGGGGCTTTGCTTGAAGTTTGAAAACATGGAATTTAACCTCATCACATTGTATGCATCAAACATGTAAGTGAATAGAAAATCAATACTTTACTAATAATAATTAGTATAAATATATGATTTAGGGAAATTGAAGTTGGCTACTGTGCTGGTAGATAAGGAATAATCTGCTGATTCTTTGGTAAAAGAGCAAAATAGTCTGCCTATTTAACCAACAAAGCTACCTCCTTCATAATTTTCTGACTTCTTTGTATGATGATGTTAAATTATGAGAATTTGTATGTTGCTGTTGGGTTGATGGCTTAGGCGAGATTTTTAATCACCAATACTACCCCAGTAAAAATATTTGGTGATCACAGGGTGATGACAAATCACGCCCATGATCACTAACATTATCTCTCCTGTTCTTGTGATCACACTTTTAGGACGGCGTGATCAAGCCGTTATTGGGGTGATACGACCCGTGATCACCCCCCTGGCCACTTCCATGCTTTACAGATGGTGTTGTAGACAAGTACAAAACTTTTCAAAATAATTTGCTCCCTTGTAAATAATCATTGCAGGAAAGAGAGAGAAGCAAATGCACGCCTGGGAAGGCCAAGGTTCAGTAAACTATTGGTTGATGTTGAAGATGCAGAGGATGCTGATGACGAGTCTCAGCAGAGTGACACAAGATTAAGACACACAGTCAGAGAACTTTGTAAAACCGTTGATGCTTTTTAAACATATCTGACAAAAAGGTTGTCCAAGCCCAAATCCTGATAAATTTTTTAGATTGAGGTTTCTCATTTATAATTTATACCCAGTCTTTCACAGAGTGAGATCTGGGTACAAGATACTGTAAGATTGAGCGGGAAATATAAGTTACTGTAGTTAACCCTTTAAGCCCCAACATCCACATACAAATTCTCCAAACTGATCTCTATACATTTCCTTAAAGAATGAGTTGACAGAATTTGATAAAAGATCAAAGCATTTTCTCTTAGGTGATCATTTTATTAATTCTCATAACCTAATCTCTTGACAATGTATGGATATTGTAAGGAGAAAATTAATGTTGGTCACTATTGGGACTTAATGGGTTAAGATCTACACTGGTGACCTGTGAAATGCCACCTATTCCTCTCCTTTCAAAGAAAAGGGTTGTTTGCCCCTCAGCCACGTTACCCCTTGTTTTATAGGGTGCAAACATTCCTCTCAACTTTTTAATGCTGATTGACAGGTTTGTAAAGAAAGTTTACGAGTTAGATCCAAGTACGACAGGTATACCATGGCAACCAAGAGGGTATACCAGTAAAAGGAAGAATATGGAAAGCTATTCAGCAGAAACAATACCAAAAAAGATTTGTTCTCCACTTATAGACGAGGAGGTGGGTGAAAGTAAATTTTTACCACCTGGCTTAGTTGTTCCAAGACAATAAGCACAAATCCAGGGCTAGATACCATGACAAATCATTACGCTCTGTTTGCCAAGCCTCGATAACCATTACTGTCCCGCCACCCGGTTTGTTTAGTTGGAAGAGCCCCTATCTATGGAGCTGAAGGATGTGGGTTCAAACCCTGCCTGGACCAGCCAGGGTCTCGAAAAAACTGGTATGATCATGCTGGCAGTGATTCAAGATCTTGTCTCAGTTCAGATGATCGTCTGTTATTGGGTGGTGACGTTAAGTCTCTTGATCTTGTCTTCTTCATCTTTTCTCATCAATATTGTATTGGAATGAATAGCTCCAAAAAGAAAGCCTGCATAAGTTGCGTATATAACTGCGATGATCTTCCTTCAAATAATTCTTCACTCCACAGTTCACATGTGATTTTCACATATTCATAATTTCATGGGTTTATAATGAACCAATTCAAAGACCTGCTCCCAGTTGGCTTGTTAGCTTAATTGGTAGAGCGCTGCACTGGTATCGCAGAGGTCAAGGGTTTGAATCCCATACAAGCCTGAGTTTTTTTCAGGCTTTCTTTTCGCAACTGCATTTAAGTTGCATATACAACTGCAGTGATCTTCCTTCAAATAATTATATTGGAAGGTGACATAAAAAAAACCCCACACTACTGTTCAAAAAGAGTAGAGGATGTAGTCCCCTGTACTTTGGTCTGTTTCTCATCGCAGTAGGGAGTGTTTAATATGGCCCAGTAGTAATTGGTGGCATGCGCTGTTATGGTGACCCTGCCAAAAATTGGTGAACCTAGGAAAATAAATAAATAGAAATAAGTAAATATATTTTGGAAATTTTTTTTAGCACCATGGAAGAACATCTGCTCCAGCTAGTAGCAGTAAATCCAGTGTGGATGCAACTGATGACACAAATTCACTTCAGGCGTCCAATACAGACAAGGTATTATTCTAATATTTCTACCCTCTAGCAGGAAAGGACTTAAAATTTGTTTCTACCTACAGATTTTATTTATAGAACCTCAACTATCAGTCGGTGCAGTTGGTGGACTACCATACTCAAAAGAATAAAAAACCTACTCATAGTAGTGAGAACTGTATTGGTCTTAGACTTTGTTTATTTAAACTTAAATTAAATTTCTACTAACTTTGTTAACATATTCCTTGAAATTGTTATTTTATTATTTTTTTCCTCTCTCTGTCTCTTAGCAATTTAATTAATTTATTTTCTTATTTTATTTATAATAGACTTTCAGTTTATTAAGACTATATGTTTTGCTCTAGCCTCCCTCCCCCCTCCTCCCTAGATTACCCCTGCTATTTGCAGGTAGAGCAGTGTAAATTTTCCTTTAAAATACTGAAATAAACTTGAAACTTAGAGACTGATGATATACACACAGTATACATATTATACAGTTACGTTTTAATACTTAGAGGAGTTTTATGACAGAGTTTATTTTCACGTTTATTTATTGTCTTTAATAAAATTTGTGATGTTGGTACAGGACCCTGATCTTAAAAGTGGCTCAGATAATGTGGAATTAATCATATCAAAAGGAGCTGATGCAAAGTCTGGATGTTCATTGAATGATATGAAATTAGTCCAATTAAAAAGGTAGAGTATTAACTTTAAATAGCCATGTATCATAACTCATAAAATTTCTGACAAGTCATTTAAAAAAGTCCCGGGGAGAATGATATATTTGTCCTTGTTGGTTAACTACTGGATGAGGAAACATTTATAGAAAATTTAATATGGCTATAAAATGTAATATAGGCAAGGTTTAACCATGAGACAATGCTGGCCAGCGGTCACCATCATTAATTGTTTGTGGGGTGGTCTTGGGCTTTAGCAGGGCTCTACACTAATTTTATTGAGGTTTTGCTTATGTTACTTTTGTGGGCAGTAGCTTGAGCCATTTTTGCTCCAAGCCTCTTCCTTTCCTCTGGATGTTTTTTGGTAAGTATCTGTGCATATCTTTACTGAGGTTCTCAGTGTGATGGTGCCTGGATGGTGCCACTCACAGGGTTGTCATGGTTACCTTCTAGGCGCGCTCACGGCTCCCTTCAGTTTCACCAGGCATCTTCTCCACGCCCATCTATTGTGCATGGGTTTAATGCCCATCTCACTGGGATTGTCCATCAACGTGTTGTATTAACATTTTGTGATTTTCTTTAACAGTCTTGTAGGACTTGAATATGATTCTTCCAGTGACTCAGACATTTCTTAGTTTTACAAGTAAACACAAAATCAAGATAAGAAGGATGCAGCAAAATTTGTAAAAACAAAAAGTAAGTAATAATATTGTTGTATTCCTACACATCCTTCTTATAATTAAAGCTTGACATGCATGCACTCCTTGCCCCCCCCTCCCCCCAAAAAATGCTTGACCTAATGTGTTATAAGAAGGCCATCTATGTAGGCAGTTAAGGACTTGTTTTTGACGTTATTCCTTGTTTTATTTACTGTACCTCTCTTTGGGTTGTCAATCTCCTCCCTCCTCCTCATTCCCTTAATTGAGTGAGAGGTGGATGAAATGAGATTAGCTGACAAATCTTTTACTTTTTTTTCTGAAACCTCCTCACTCACATCATCTGTTATGTTTTCCATATCTGTCTTCACAAGTTCAGCTAAAAATTAGCCTGCTTTAGGCATTCAGATTTTGGAGACAATGCAAAAAGATGTGAGCAGGAAATATTTGTTTCAGTTAATGCTTGATCCCTCTAGCCTTGTTCTTTACATACTGCTGAGGGTAAATTAAATCATTAATATTTGTGTCTTTTTCTGATTATTGATTGACATTTTCTTGTTTCATCCTCTTCTAGGTTTTCAAAAATTGGAAAAAGTTATAAAAATGAGATAATTCTTTGGGTGGATGCATTTGCAACATACACATATAGCTGTCGTATTTTCCTGCTGGAATTTTTTATTGTTTTAAGCCTAAAAGCAATAAAAAATTCTAGTGGATGAATGTGACAACCGTACAAGTATGTTGCAAATGAATCTACCCTTCCTATAAGCAAACATTAATTCATAATTTATCTTATATATGAAAATTCTCCAGTCTCGACTGACTAAAGTTATAAGCTGTATTGTAAATACTTTATAAATATTCAGTCAATAAACCAGTGTTTTTCAAAGTGTGTAACATTTGAGTATTATAGAAAATCGGAAGGCCAAATTTGTAAAGCAGGTTGGGTTTGGTTGGGTAATTTTATTTCTGTACTAAGACGTGCAGCGACAGATTACTCTTTGTTAGCAGCTCAGATATTATTTGTTTTGTTTTCGTTTTTCTTTTTCGGTCAGATTCATGTCAGCTGTTTGTATCCTTTAGAACAACACTCCGCCGCACAAAACGTCGTAGCTTCGCTTACAAAGTCGCTGGTTGTCACGCAATTTTTCACCCAAAACATAGTTTTATAACCCCTAACACGCGCGTGTCAGGCTTGCTTTTTATCTCGCAAGAAGAAAAATGTTCAAGGCTTGTTTGCAGGCATCGGCAGAGCGATCATATGGGAATTGTAAATCAAATCAATTGTGCTAAGTTTGATCCATGTTTACGTCTTTTATAACGTAGTTCTAAAAATAGGATTTACGTGGTGGAGGTGTGACAACCGGAAGTTGACAAGAATTGCCACGTCGATAAAATTTGCGTTGAAAAGCAGCTGCTAAATCGCTTCGAAATCAAAATATATTTAATATACCGGCAAAGACGTCTTCATTCGCTCAACAATTTTTAGGAAAACTGCTGGAAAGCACAGATCGGATGAACTACGAACAAAAACATGCAAGATACTCAACAAGATTGTTCGCAATTGATTTCCGGTTTAAATTCGGAGGAGACGTTTTTGGAAACAGCGACTTATCCCATTCGGTTTTTGCTCAAGTTCTACGAAACGACAATGATGGAGGTGAAAGAAATAACTGTACAGCCATCAAAAGGAATTGCAACTTGGACTCGAGCTGATATCGGCAAAAGAGTTATCGTCAGAGAACCTTTGACATCGGAATTCGGTTTCCACGAGTTACCGGTGAGCGAGTCTGGATTGTGCTTTAGTAGTGCTTGGGGGTTCTATAGTAACATTTAATATGAGAGAGTGAAAACTCCAGTTTCATGAAATAATAGGAGTTAGCTGGTTAGATAGTGAGTTCTTCGCAGCTACGGGTTTGCAGCGGACCGAAAGTTACGAAATATGAACATATATGTTCATTGTAGCGCGTTAGCTTATGTGTAATGCGATTAATTATTTTTCCAAAAAAATATCTTTTTTGTTGTACGTCATGCAATTGGTTATGGCGAATAATAGTTAATAGAAAAAGAAACAGATAAAGTTTTTTAAAAGTATTTACTTAACAAATAAATGGTGCTTCAATTTTTTTAACGTAGAATTTAGTATAATTTGGGTTCCACTACAAAAACTATGAATTAGCAGGTTTGTACATCTAATTTAATGTACTCTAGCATTTCAAATTTTGCTTTTGTTTTCTTATTTTCAAAATACAAAGATACCACAAAAGTGATTTATATAATTCATTTATATTTCTAACAGTTTTTAACTGGCTGAAAAACTCTTCTTGCAGATAAACTTGCAACTTAAAATATTCTCTTACTTGGATGCAAAATCAATTTGCACAGCAGCAATGACATGCCACTATTGGAGCATGCTCAGTGAGGATAAGGTATTATGGATGAACCTGATGCAGCACAACATGCACAAATGGAGCAGTATGGGATACCAGTCATGTCCATCCACATACTTGGAGGCCAGGTCTGATTTGACATTAAAGCAAATGTAAGTTAATGAATGCAGAATAATAATTTAAATAAACTGCTTGAGTGGTTGTTGGAAGTGGAAGTAGGGCAGGTTGGGTGGGAGGGTCCCCTAGCTTTTTTTCTTGATGATTATAATCAAGATGATCACCAAGTTCCAGATCGAGGCTAAAATCTTGACTTTTAATTAAAGCAAAAACTGGGCAGGGAACAAATTGCTTTCCCATTGGGGCAGGGATGGGAGGGTGATGTAGATGGGGTTGGGGTAGGATGGGAAAACTTCAAATGTAGAAATCTATAAAACAAAATAATATTCATTGTTTCTGATAATGGTTTGTTAAGAAGTAACATTTTTATTTACAAGGAAAAAACTATGGTCAAGTCCAACTAGCTATTTTACCTGGCGGGGCTTATCAATTATGGGTTATATTGTTTAATTCTATAGGCTGTGCTAGTTTTCTAGCCTGCATGGCAGGCATTTAAGGGGACTGGGGAAGGAGGAATTTGGGTGTGCAAGAGCGGAAGAAGTGTATGAGAAGGGGGAAAATTAGGAGCACCTTCAATGACACTATTGTTTTATCCAAACTGCCCCCTTATTGTTATGTAAAAAATAAAATGACTGTACTGTGAAATGTCTGGCTCCCCTCCCCTTTCTCCTTTTAATGTCTGCCATGCAGGCTAGCACTAGTCCTCTAGCCAGTCCTAATGTAATCTTACTCTTATTGTTATCTCCAGATACCTAAGATGCTGTCCAGAATGCAGATCCTTGAGAAGATCCAGACAGTCTAGTTTCAAGTCAGTTGTGTTCTACAACTTACAGAACTTGTCATCTCACCACGTGTTGTTATGTTTGGTCCTGGTTTGGAATGTGACGCAAGAGGTCTTGTGCGTAAACTCCTCCATGATCATACATCACCCTTTGAAATAATGGGCATGTTCCCTGGGCAGTTTGACGGTAAGTTAAATTTCCACTTCCTAATAATTACTTTTATTAATTTTGGTTTGTTTTTGTCTTTGGTTATGATTTTCTGCTTCTCTTAGGATTTCTCCTAGTTTAAGGAAAGGTCAAAATGTAAAACTGCATGTTTTCCTAATAAGTTGATCAAGTGTATTTGGTTTTCTGTTTTAGGTACAGGTTCGGGGCTTTGCTTGAAGTTTGAAAACATGGAATTCAACCTCATCACATTATATGCATCAAACATGTAAGTGAATAGAAAATCAATACTTTACTAATAATAATTAGTATAAATATATGATTTAGGGAAATTGAAGTTGGCTACTGTGCTGGTAGAGGAATAATCTGCTGATTCTTTGGTAAAAGAGCAAAATAGTCTGCCTATTTAACCAACAAAGCTACCTCCTTCACAATTTTCTGACTTCTTTGTATGATAATTTTAAATTATGAGAATTTGCATGTTGCTGTTGGGTTGATGGCTTAGGTGAGATTTTTAATCACCGGTACTCCTTCAGTAAAAATATTTGATGATCACAGAGTGATCACAAATAACGCTCATGATCACTGACATTATCTCTCCTTTTCTCGTGATAACACACTTGTGCAATGGCGTAATCAAGCCGCTGTAGGAGTGATATACGACCTGTGATCACCCTCCTGGCCATTTCCATGCTTTACAGATGGTGTTGTAGACAAGCTAAGTACAAAACTTTTGGAAATAATTTGTTCCCTTGTAAATAATCATTTCAGGAAGGAGAGGGAAGCAAATGCACGACTGGGAAGGCCAAGGTTCAGTAAACTATTGGTTGATGTTGAAGATGCAGAGGATGCTGATGACGAGTCTCAGCAGAGTGACACAAGATTAAGACACACAGTCAGAGAACTTTGTAAAACCGTTGATGCTTTTATATATGTAGTGGATGCTTCAACAGACTCTCAAAGAGGTAGCAATATTATTACTGCTATTTCTAGCTGGATTTGTAAAAACATTATACTTCCAAATAAACCTCTTCCATCAAGCTGCTTTCTTTGTTCAAAAACCATCACCAACGTAGCCAATATAAAAAGTATTAAGAGTGTAACCATCCCTTTTCTTTTCTTCTCTTCCTATCTTTCTCCTNCTGGGAAGGCCAAGGTTCAGTAAACTATTGGTTGATGTTGAAGATGCAGAGGATGCTGATGACGAGTCTCAGCAGAGTGACACAAGATTAAGACACACAGTCAGAGAACTTTGTAAAACCGTTGATGCTTTTATATATGTAGTGGATGCTTCAACAGACTCTCAAAGAGGTAGCAATATTATTACTGCTATTTCTAGCTGGATTTGTAAAAACATTATACTTCCAAATAAACCTCTTCCATCAAGCTGCTTTCTTTGTTCAAAAACCATCACCAACGTAGCCAATATAAAAAGTATTAAGAGTGTAACCATCCCTTTTCTTTTCTTCTCTTCCTATCTTTCTCCTTTCCTTTTCCTTTGTTTGTGTGATTTTCAGTCTTATCAGACGTAAAAAACTGGCCTCTTGGCAGCCCCTTTTTCATTCAATTGGCTGCAAATTTCGCTAGGTTTGTTTCAGAAAAATCTAGCTAGATTTGTGTTATCATTGCCATCATAATAATTTTGTTCATTCTTAGTGAAGTCATTTGAATTGGCAACCAAATTATTGATCTTGACTGATTTCCTGTTCCAGAAAAATGTCCAAAAATACTGATTTAGAATGAAAATTTATTAAATCTGTTTCAAATAAATTTAGAAAGTTCTGGTCATGTAATCATGTCATAAGTGCCCTTTTTATTGTGATTTATGCAATTCTCAAAGGAAACTCATCATGCAATAAATACTGTATATTTTGTCTTTTTAAACAGTGAACTTGGGTGACAGAGAACTTTCAGCCATGTTAAATGAGAACTGGACACAGTCAGATGCTCCACTCCTTGTCCTCTCAACTGTATCAACAACGTCAACACCTTCTTTATCTTGTGCTACAGTTGTGGAACTTCTACAGCTTAGAAGATTTAACAGGCCGTGGCAGGTTAGCTTAATCCCTATTTTGCTCAATGACGTACAAGTTCAGTGTTCTCCTTATCAGGCCGTAACTGGTAAATTTACTGGCCTAAAGAAACACTTCTTACCCCCTGCAACGGCCTGAAGGTTTACTAAAATTAAAGAAGTACTTTTAAAAAGTACACAAGTTGTGATCCGATCCGTTTCTCACATGCCATGAGGAAATGAATATATATGTCGAAAGTACTAAAGTATACACAGCTTTTCTTTTTGTGGGCCATGCATTTTGGAAAGAGAACATTGAAGGCAGAGTAAAATTACTGGAATCAATCATTATTTAAACTGTTTTGTAAAGGTAACAACAGCCTGTTTGCGTAAAAAAGGTCTTAAAATAAAGGAATAACATTTTAGAGAACTTAGCTCCTAAATTTCCCAGTGAGGGCGGGGCCATGTCCCACAATCCACTACCCCCCTGCCCCCAGGAAATTGCGCCTGTGACGCACATTTTTTGCATTACTGGCTATGAATGGTCCCTTACCTGCTGAGCTAATTCAGGGAGAACACTGCAAGTTACAGTAGAACCCCTCAAATGCAAACTCCCAAGGGAAAAAAATACATCACAACATGAGTATAAGGTCTCGACCTTGTAGTCGGACTGCACCGGCACAGTGCCCGAATTCTAGCATGGGTACTTGAAAAAAGGGTGTGTTCACACTAGTGCCCAGCTAGTACCGTACTCAGGCACCATGCCTGGGCACCAAGTGTGAACACTGCCTACGTGTCCACCTAGGCAGCTGTCCATTAACCCTTTAAGCCCCAAGATCCACATGCAAATTCTCCAAACTGATCTCCATACATTTCTTTTAAGAATAGTTGAGAGAATTTGGTTTAAGATCAAAGCATTCTCCTTTTGGTAATTAAATTAGTAATTCTCATAACCTTTACTCTTGATGATCTGCTGATGTTGATCACTCTTGGAACCTAAAGGGTTGATTGAGGTTCAACTGTGTTTCATACTTAGTAGATAACATCAAGAAAAAGAAAAACAGCAAATAAAAAACAAAAAAAGTTCAAAGTGAGAAGGAATGTTTTTTGTTCTTTTTTTCAGGTTAATTCAGCATGTGTTGAAAACTTAGATGGTATCCATCCTGGAATTAAATGGCTTCTGACCTCATGCAGTTGAAGAAAAAAAAAAGCTTGTCTTATGGGAAGAAGGCAGAATGAAAATTTTTTCTTTCTACAATGAAGTGATAATGGACTATAACATTGGTGTAAAATAAGTATTACTTGTTGAATAACACTGATAGTATATGATAATATTGAAAGTGTACAGTTCTCTTTGTCAAGGTATTTAAATAAAAATAAATGTTTTGTTCAACATTATTGAGCCCATGTTACCTCTCACTCAGGCATCATCAAGTGATTTGCATTTTCCCCTCTGGCCAGTCAACTTTCTTTGCGAGAAAGTCATGTGTTCAGGGCTGTCAACACTCCACGTCTTCAAATAGTTGGGTTTGATAGGGCAGGGATGATGAATGACATCATAATCCAATTAAAGGCACCTAATATCATTTGTGCAAAAAATACCCTTTGACTCCGATCTTCACAAAACGTTTGAAAAAGATGTTGCTGGTATTTTATCATTTGACCTGATTGGTTTCCTTTCCAGCAATCACATTATTATATTAAAATGGCATACCAGAGTTTTTTAGGAAACGTTCAATGCTAACAAAAAGATAGTTCAAATGAGGCAAAATGGTTCAACCTTTATTGCCTGAAATTCTAGTCTACTGAAGAAATGACAAACTTTGGTGATTATCCAGGAGATTTCATCCTCTAATCTGGAGAGCAGAAGATACAGTCCAATATCTGGAGTCTCCTGGCTTATCCAGGAGAGTTGACAGCACTGTGTGTTTGTTCAATAGACCTTTTGCATGTTACTTATTATTCTTTTATGTTGAAATTTTTCAGGTGTTTAAGGTTTTCTGAGTTTGACAGTATTGCCCTCGAAGGCTCGTTTTCCTGTTTTCTTTGTTTATTTGTAGTTTGCACAGGTATGCGAGGATTGGAGGTCAATAATAGTAACGTACATAAAAGAATAATAATAGACCTTTTTACCGATACGGCGGCCATATTGAATTAATTTGATTCAAGGAGTATTATAGGATGCCCAGGGGGCATGAGCACATTTAGTTTGTATTTTTGAGCGCTTTTCGGGACATTTTTTCTTAAAGTTTTCTTAGAATAAGATTGTAATGGGAAAAAAGATCCTTGTGCCGTGTTTGGATGTAATAATGATCGCCTCTTTCTAGTTTAGTATTAGAATTATGGTCTTTCACTGTATATTTCTCGGGAAAAAGGCGATCATTATTACATCAAAACACGGCACAAGGATCTTTTTTCCCATGACAATCTTATTCTAAGAAAAATTAACAGAAAAAATGTCCCGAAAAGCGCTCAAAAATACAAACAAAATGTGCTCATGCCCCCTGGGCATCCTATAATACTCCTTAAATCGAATTAATTCAATATGGCCGCCGTATCGCTAAAAAGGTCTATTGTACAAGTAACATGAAGTCTCTAAAGAGCAATACACGTTCAAGAAACTAGATATCTCAAGTCTTCGTAGATAATCTCGGCCATTTTTTTGTAGCCTTCTTCAGTAAAATGCAAGCCATCACTCCATAATTTTTCCAAACTTTCTGCACTCAAACTTTTCTGAGGAAATTTCTCCGCTAAATCACACAATATTATTTCACCACCACAATCCTTAACGTACGCCCTCAACTTTCCGTTCACTTTTAAACGAATATTGTCCCCTGCTTCTTTCACCCAAGACAAACCATTCTTTCCCACGTCTTTGAAATTAACATCTGTTTCAGGAATTGTTAGAGCAACACATTTTGAACCGTGCCCCTTTACTTCAGAATGCAGCCTTTTGATCTGTTCAAAAAGGGTGTCTTCCAAGTCTTCTTTAGGCTCAATGATGTCGTTCGTTCCTCCCAAAATAATCACTACATCGTACGGTCCGTATTCGTTTAAAACCTTTGGCAGTCTGTATGACATTCCACCGCACACTAACTCGCCGTAAATGCCTTTGTTTTCTACTTTAAACTTCACACTAGGATGGTTTTCCGACAACAATTGCGATAGACGGATTGTGTAAGGCTTGTCTAATTGTATGTTCTCCTCTCCTCCGGTATTACCTGTTGTAAGACTGTCTCCGAAAGCTAAGATTCTGTACACCTTCCCACTCACCTTCCCCTCGGCCGCCATGTTGCAAGATTGGACTAGGTACCAGGCCCTAACGTTAGCTGTGTATCCTGGCCTTGATGAGGTCTTGATAAAAATGGCGAATTGACAGCCAAAAAATTGAAGTAACGACGTGGATTGAAAAAATCGAAATAGAGAGGAAATGTTTTCCAGATTAAATGCTGCAAGAGGTAAGTTTCTGTGATCTGAAATTAGTACTGCTTCGAATTCATTTACAAATTGAACGTTGGCAAAGACCGCCAGGGCGTCATGCCAACTGGTCCCGTCTGCAGAGTATGGCAGAACTCGACGAGATCTCGGGCGTGCAAGGCCGTTTTTAGGCCCTTATTTCTCACATATTATTTAAAAAACTCGCGCGTGCACCTGCCATACTCTGCAGACTGGCAACTAGTTACAAAGAAAAATGATGATAAATAATAAATAAATAAGGTTAATGTAAGCTTTGATTGTATCAAGAAGTTCCGCTAAAAATCTTAATTGGCATCTAATTTATGCTGTATTTTACTTTTCTATCGAATATAGTGCACAGGTTAGCAGGAATAATGAAGTTATTCAGAATGGTGATCTCCAAAAGGGAAAATAGTTTTTCAACTATTTCCCGAAGGGGAGGTGAATAGTGGTAGATATATATACCGAGCAGGGTTGTCAAAGGTAGCTGGCTGCCGGCTAAAATCGTCGTCTACTTGGTTAGTACCGGCCGGCTACTCTGCTTGGCATTTCTTTACGGATGGCGTTTTTTAAATAAAATATCCCTGGACTGGTTAGGAAACATCTTCTGAAAACTATAGCAAGTGTTTATGTGCCACTCACAGTTAAGTTTAATGCCTGTTCACCTTATAATTCACTTAAGATTCTCGGTAATTTTGGAGAGAAAATAGCCTGGAGAGTGCAGAAAACAGCATTTCGGAGCGTCTAAACATAAAAATTTTGCGGTGGAGCATGCCCCCAGAGGTTTGCACCTTACGTGCTTGGCAGCACCTTCAGCGCTGGCTGCTTACTTTGACAACTCAGCCATCTACTTCAAAACTTTCTGACAACCCTGACCTAGACGCAAAGCCTCAAGGTATATATCTAGCACTGTTCACCGACCCTGAGGGGGATAGTTGTTTTAGTATTTACCAAATCAGTTGGATAAAAGTGAAAAAAATAAGTAACTTTTGTAAATTAAAAACATCACTTAGTAGGAACTTTGTTTACAATTTAAAAACATTTGCGGAATTTTGTCAAGTGCATTTTTACGATTTTGTTGCAAATTCAGCATGAAAATAATTTTGTACCTACCAGTAAACAATGACAAGCCAAAGTTCATGGCTTTCTTGGTATTTGTTTATATGACTGCTTCATTTATCGCTCAAATTTCGTCTTTCAAAAATGTCTCAAAAGGAGAGGCCATTTTGGCTCCAGTCGCAGAACAGTGAATAGCCAAGGATATTCCGAGTTACGGGAGCCAATCAAAATGCACAATAATTGCTATTCACTGATTTGGTAAATACTAAGTTAGACTATTACTAGTCAGATCAGATTTGAATATTTCAATAAACTGAAACTGGGATTTAGATTGTGGTGTGCAAGGTGTGGAGTGTTGTGTATCAAACAATAGGAATATTTGGCAAAGACTAATATGCAAAGTCAAATGAGATTGTGAAAGCATGCGGAAATAAATGCAATTTCTGGTTAATATGATGCTCTGCCATTGATCAAGCTGGTTGTTAGAACTGCGCATGCTGTGGTCACTCTCCGTATGAATTGTCTTTGCTAAAATAAACTGGCTAATAACTTTGTCTGTAAAAGTATGTTGTCCTTTCCACGAAAAGCTACATGTAAATATGCGTGAGATGGGTAACTGGCTGGCAGTTATTTTTTGGCAATAGTTTAGCTTGGTATCTTTGTGGTATCAATCCTTAATATCACTTAAATTTGGCATGTTCAGGAAACAGTGCTACCCTAGATTATCTGGGATGTTTGTGATCATGTAAGTACCAGCCATAAGTATTTAAAGAAACCAGGCCTGGAAGACCAGGTTTTAGTGAAAGCTGATGTTTCATCTTAATTAAATTTCAGTTCTGGGAAATACTTTGCATCTGAAAAATATTTGCACAGCCTTAAAACCGAGGCAAGCTTTGTTAGCATCACAAATCAATGTATTGAATGTAAATAAAAGGATGAACAGTACAGATGCATACTCATTTGAAACACTTGCTGTAACCAAGCCACAGGAGCATGTAATTCAGGTTGAGCTTAACAGACCAGACAAGAGAAACGCAATGAACAAGACATTTTGGAGGTGAGAAACTAAAACCTTGAGTGCACAGGTCACCCAAGCCCATGTTGTGAGAAAAAACAGGAATACTCTATGCAATTTTTTAGTACACAGCAAAAGCTTAATATGTTATTACCAAGTTTTTGCTCACCATTTTTTGGTGCAAAATCTTCAATCTCAGTAATTATTTACAAAGCACGGTTTTGTATGGCCTGCATGGAAGATTTTATTTTGGGCAATCCATAGTAGGAAGACCATTACTTAGCCTGCTAGTAGCTTCTCTCTGCCAATAAATTCAAGTAATGGAGCCACTTGACAAGTGGAAATAAATCAGTCTGTGTTCACACGCTAACCATTACTCAGGGTGTCTGAAGTTGGCCAAACATGTGTTTGGTTTTAAAAAAGCACCACTGTGAGGAAGCCTGAGAATAGACGACTTCCCCAAGAGCACTTCGCTCAAGGTTGAATCATAAAAGGTCTTTACACAGAATACATGCCCCATCCATCAAAGATGTTATCCCTTTAAGCCCCAATATCCACATACAAAATCTCCATACTGATCTCCATACACTTCCTTAAGAATAAGTTGGGAGATTTTGAATAAAGATCAAAGCATTTTCCTTTGGTGATCATTTATAACTTCTCTTAACCTTTTTTACTGATTATGTTTTAAATGATATTAGGAGAAAATTGCTGTTGGTCACTCTTGGCATTTATATTCAAAGGGTTGTCAAAGTCCTATCTGACTATTTTCCTATCACTAGTTCAGTTATTCCTGTTATAAAGAAACATTTTAGTAATCTGTAACTTTGTTGTGATATGTGTAGGGAGATGGTTGAATGTTTTCATCAAATTAGTGATGACTCCGAGTGTCGAGCAGTGGTGCTGACTGGAGCTGGGAAACTCTTTACAGCAGGTTGGAATATAGCTGACTTCAGTTCAATGTCACAAATGCGTTAATGAGTCCATGCATCCTATATAAAATTTCTAGTTCTTAATATCACACATTTTAATGGATGTTATTTTTGTGGTAATTTTGCTGTAGCCTTTTCGCATTCGTGAGAACGCATCCTAATCTGGTGTTCCTGTGGCACTAAGGCAGAAATTTTCGAGCTCTCATGGGCGAGTGCAAATAAGGTGCCCCTATTAATTTTATCAGGAGCACCTTGGCCAGGAAACTGGACTCCTTTCAACTCGATTTCGTTTCTGTAATTTTTCGAACATAGATCCATAATCAATGATTACCTCTAGTAATATGTCCTTTAGAAAGGGCATAGTTGTAACTTGATCAGACAATGAGAAGCAATAACGTTAATGAGGGAAAAATGTACTGGCCCAGTAAACCAAGCTTCGCCTATACAGATGCCCTATTGACAACCGCCATCCCAGGCCCCTCTTAAGATTGAAAGCGGCTGACAGAAAACCCCAGCACATTTACCCAGCCTCACAGTATTATTCACTTATGTAGGTCCCCTTGCTATAAAAGTTCCCCCATTTAATCTCACAAGGAGTTCATCCTCTAGCTGGATTTAAACCCTTTTAAAAGAGGGCAGGAGGAATTTGTAGAGAGATCAAGCATCATGGCTATATTTGAATTATTTGAATTATATTGTATATTGTAGATATTTTATAATTTAGATTTTTTTTTATATTCTTTTTTGTAATTAGGTAGCGCTTTGGACAATTATTGGATTTTAGCGCTATATAAATAAAATTATTTTATTTATTATTTATTTTGTGGCTGTGCAGACAGCAAAAGGCAGAGTTAAGGTGGCAGTCATTTTTTGCAACATTTTATTTTTGCTGCATGCTTCTTTCAGTGGTGAAAAAAATTGTCATTGCATTTTAAAAAATGTAAGAAGTAGCTGTTTTTTTTTTTTTTAAATTTTTAAGGCCTTGATCTCATGGACATGGCAAGTGATATCATGAACAATCCGGGCAATGATCCTTGTGTAGGGAGATGGTTGAATGTTTTCATCAAATTAGTGATGACTCCGAGTGTCGAGCAGTGGTGCTGACTGGAGCTGGGAAACTCTTTACAGCAGGTTGGAATATAGCTGACTTCAGTCCATGCATCCTATATAAAATTTCTAGTTCTTAATATCACACATTTTAATGGATGTTATTTTTGTGGTAATTTTGCTGTAGCCTTTTCCCCTTTCGTGAGAACGCGTCCTAATCTGGTGTTCCTGTGGCAGACATTTTCAAGCTCTCATGGGCGAGTGCAAATAAGCCGCCCCTATTAATTTTATCAGGCGCACCTTGGCCAGGAAACTGGACTCCTTTTAACTCGATTTCGTTTCTGTAATTTGTCAAACATGGATCCATAATCAATGATTACCTCTAGTAATATGTCCTTTAGAAAGGGCATAGTTGTAACTTGATCAGACAATGAGAAGCAATAACGTTAATGAGGGAAAAATGTACTGGCCCAGTAAACCAAGCTTCACCTATACAGATGCCCTATTGACAACCGCCATCCCAGGCCCCTCTTAAGATTGAAAGTGGCTGACAGAAAACCCCAGCACATTTACCCAGCCTCACAGTATTATTCACTTATGTAGGCCCCCTTGCTATAAAAGTTCCCCCATTTCATCTCACAAGGAGTTCATCCTCTAGCTGGATTTAAACCCTTTTAAAAGAGGGCAGGAGGAATTTGTAGAGAGATCAAGCGTCATGGCTATATTTGAATTATTTGAATTATATTGTATATTGTAGATATTTTATAATTTAGATTTTTTTTTTATATTCTTTTTTGTAATTAGGTAGCGCTTTGGACAATTATTGGACAAATAATTTATTATTTATTTTATGGCTGTGCAGACAGCAAAAGGCAGAGTTAAGGTGGCAGTCATTTTTTGCAACATTTTATTTTTGCTGCATGCTTCTTTCAGTGCTGAAAAAATTGTCATTGCATTTTAAAAAATGTGAGAAGTAGCTGTTTTTTTTTTTTTAATTTTTAAGGCCTTGATCTCATGGACATGGCAAGTGATATCATGAACAATCCGGGCAATGATCCGTCGCGGAGGGCTCATTTCATGAGAAAGCTCATCCTTAATCTTCAAGAGTCCTTCCTGGTGATTGAGAAATGCCCACAGCCAGTGATAGCAGCTGTACATTCAGGATGCGTCGGGGGAGGAATAGACATGATCTGTTCCTGCGATGTTCGCTTGTGCTCTGCTGATGCATGGTTTGAAATTAGGGTATGTAAAGCCTTCTATCCCCTCGCAAACACATCATGACAGTGTAGACAACAGCTAAATCCCTGGCAGAACTTACAGCTGTTTTATTTTAATTTTCTCTGCCAGGAAGTTGACATAGGGCTTGCAGCCGATCTTGGTACCCTACAGAAATTTCCAAGGATTATTGGCAATGATAGGTAAGTTACCTTTCAGTTTAACCCACTTCAGGTTGGGTTGGTTTGAGGAGGGTGGGACCAGGCTTGATGGTGTTTAATATATTTTTTAGAAAATTAGATTTTAACTTTTGAATCAAATGTCAAAGTCTTCTCTTATAAAGACACATCTTCAAACTTCGTACATGCTAAAGTACATCTAACATACTAATAACCTTCTGGAAGGTGGTGACACAAGTTCCCTTATTTTCAAACGCCCTTAACTTGCAAACAATACTTGCATGGAGACATGACTCACATTACATCAGAATTCTTAAAAAAGTCTGGAAATTTGCCCAGCAATTTTCCAGACCTGGAAAAAGTCTGGAAAATAGAGATAAAGTCTGGAAAAACTTGTAAAAAGTCTTGAGTTTTTTTTCCAAAGCTACTACAAGTGCTTTATAAGTGAAATGTTTTTTGTTTTGGTCAAATCTTATTCAATCTCGTCCGTACGTTTGAAGTGCATCCTGAAAAAGCTTTTAATTGTCCCTGCTTTTCAAAGGTCAATATTGATCACCTATTATCTATTTTTGATAAACCTTGAGTCTGGGAAAAGAAATTATTGTTTTGGGAAAAAAGGGTGGAACAAGTCTTGAATTTTGGATCCAAAAAGGAGTACGAACCCTGTTACATCCTTCAAGTACAAACGCCGCCACCTGGTTAGTGCCAGTCTCCTGAGAGGGAGTTTCTTGTATTAAAACCTTGGATGGATCAGAAGCTAAGGTTGTTAAAAGACTCGTAACTTCATAACGGTTGTAAATCAATTAAAAGGGGAAATAAAGCAAGCCACGATAATAAACAATCGTTTTGTCTTTCTCTTCTTCAGTCTTGCGAGGGAGTTATGCTTTACTGGCAGACGTTTTACAGCTCAAGAAGCCAAGGAGTTTGGATTTGTGAGGTGTGTTTCGGATAGGCATTTCTGTTCAGTAAGGCTGAATGCACTTGAAAATCGTTGTCCCAACTTTTTTTTAACGTTACTTAGATTTTTATTTAGGTTTATATTATTTTTTTAATCAGCGGGACTCGTTTGTGTTGTTGTCTTTGCACTTTTTGTGTTGTTTTTGTTAGATTGCGAGCAGTCTCCTATTTTTCTCTAATCCGCCCGCCCGCCCTTAGCCTGCGTAGCAGGAGCTTGGAAGTAGTGGACGAAAGAGAGAACGTCTCCTTCGCGGGCGCCCGTTTTTTTCTTGTGCGCACTACTTCCAGGCGCCTGCTACGCGGGCTAACCCGCCCCAACGGCGGATATGAATGAATAAATTGAAAGAAAAAGACAAATCCCAAAAAGGAGAGAGAAATCTTATTTCTTATTGTAAAATTCCTGGCTGCGTTACCTCACTTTTTACCCCCTTGAAATTTTTGGTTTTAGCCGTTTTGGCGCCCAGTTGAGTTGCATAAGGTCTCTTCCAATATTTTATTTTGTTCATTTTCGTTTCTCAGTCGTATTTGTCCTGATCGTGACAGTCTTGTCAAGGACGCTGTAGATCTTGCAAGCCAGATATCCAAGAAAAGTCCAATCGCCATGTCAGGAACAAAACACAACCTGAATTACTCAAGAGATCATTCAACCAAGGAAGGTTTAGAGTACATGGTAAGTTTTTTACGGAAGCTGTACGAGTGTTCCTTCATTTCTTTTGAGAAAAGATCCGCGTGTGCTAACGCGAGTGAGCGTGAATCTCCTCCCACGAGGAACGGACTTTGCTTTATCTTTGCTCCGGCTTGTCAAGCTTCTCGCGGTAAGAGAGTTTCGAGTAAAGATGAACAACTCACAAGTATAGTAGATTAGTATTTATTTCGAGGTGCTTACGCGAGTGCGGTAGAAACTAGGTTACCGCGAGGAACACGCCTCATTTTGTCTTCGCACCTCCACGTCGTGTATCTTCATAAGACTTTATTTTCTTATGAACTGTACCTGACTATTTTAGGGGATAAAATTGACTCGGAAAAGGAAAACTATATAATTATCTAAACTTTAGCCAGGCTTGCTTTATGCTTCGTTTCTCAAAAATTGGCTGATTAGATCCACCAGGACTGTTAATTATCCACCTTATCTCTTGCTGCCAAAGTATTTATCCTTTTGTGTGAGAAGGCTCTCAGGGGGAGGGGGTGGGGTGTGTATTAGCGAAATATAGAATGATCGCACTCCTTTAGTGGAGGAGGGTGGGGAGACTAGAAAGGAACCTTCCCCCAACCCCTCAAGGCTTATAATTCTGCGTTTCCTCTGAGTTTCATTGAGAAGACATAAATATTTTTTAATCGCTTGAGGTTTAATTTGAAAACGAAAACGCTAAGAGTTGATCGAGTTGCCTCTGTTTTTAGGCCACGTGGAACATGGCCATGCTGCAAACAGAGGATATTCTGAAAGCTGTGCAAGCTGGAATGAGCAAGGAAGAGGCTGTATTTTCAAAACTTTAAACTTAATCTTAACATTTTAACGAGTAATTTAAAATCAAAGAAATTATCCTCCAAATTATTAGCTAGACAGAAAGGCGTCATTCATTTTAACCCTCTCTCATTCACTAACTGAACTATCAGCCTTATAAGTGACATAAACAACTGTCATCGATATCCCCACTTGCAGAGCAGCATATTGCTATTCGTTGCTACCTTACAGTGCTACGCTAGAAGATAAATTGTAACATGAATGGTAATTTACCCGATAACAAAGTTTTTAAATGACTATAGATCGTAATGTCACGCAATACCAAAGCACTTCAGTTTCCCCAGAGTGTGGTAACCTTCCTCGTATGCTGTCACATCACCAAACCTGAGTTGTTTTACTGGAAGCTTTGTCTTGTCAGTGAGAAGACCGCTGTCCTCACGCCATACATAGTCATTCTTATCACAGTTACAACCATACCTGGAGTCTGCACATGAGTTGGTCATCCCGCATGCGCACTTACTACTGCCAGGTGACGCTCCACCCCAGTATGTCATCTTTGCAGAATCACGTGACACCCACCAGGCTATTCCCCCATATCTGAATACTGAACCATAACACTCGTACTTGATAAACTGCTCACAGTGTGAAGAGACTCTGGTGAGACTTGCCAGCTGAGACAGACTCGCTCCTGTGTAATGAATGTCACGTGAGTAACACCCTGATGGCTCACATCCGGAAACATGAGTTCTACTCTCACTGTTGTGACTAATGACTGTCACGCCAACTCCACTTTTATCAGTCATTTCACAGAACACCGTGAATGGTGCCAGACCTCCCTCACCATCAGGATCAATGACGTAATTTCCGTTTACACTGCTGACGTATTTTTTAATCACAGAACAGGAAGTAGCAACTGGAGAATTGATTTTAACTTTAGCTTCTATTGTTGCCAGAACATTACTCGCTCGACAAGTGTAAGACCCTCTTTGAGCTTTCTTGATGTCCTCGATAATTAGTGTGTCATTTCGAAGAACACGGGTGTTTCCAGGAAGTACACCAACGCCATCTACTGTCCAAGCAAGTTTAGTACTCAGTTCACTTGTGGCCACACATGGCAGACGGAGAGTTGAACCAATGACAGGAGTCACTTCTTGTGGAGGACGGACTTTGAACCGCAAAGGAGAAAACACCGTGAGTTGAGCCGTGTCTGTCGCTAATCCCAGAATATTCTCTGACTTACAAATGTATACTCCACCATCTTTTTTTGTGACACTGTAGATTTTCATGGTTCCACCTTGCACCTTGATTCTGTCTCCAGGTAAACTTCCTACTGCCTTGGACCATGTGATCTTAGGTGACGGCTGACCAGTTGCAGTGCAGGCCATGGTGACGTTTTGTTGCTCTTCAGCCATCAGTCGATTGGATGACAATGAAAGTTGCGGACCAACTGGCAAAAAATAGAAAATCAGGGCCGGTTGTTAAAGAAAAACTGAGTTAGAGAGCAGAAAATCAGTGGCCTCCACAAAATGTGTTTGCAAGTAGCTTATTTTAAGTAGTTGAATGGTTTTGTAGCCTGCGTTACGTTGTTGCCCTTCTTGATACCATAGATATCCAGATACAGATCAGATTTAGCAAAATTGAATACGACGAAAAACATGTCTTTTGTTAAACACCGTCTATGTTTTAATACCATGATTTGAAGTTTAATATCCAATTGTAACCGATGACATAATATAGGAGTTTGTTTATAATGTTCTGTTTAAGGACCTTTTTAACCCCGGTATATCCAACCAAGTTAAATCCAAGACTCCGCTGGTAATTATCGATTAATAAAATTCGTAGTCCGCTTTAATTTTTAAATAAAATGACTAGGTCGACTTACACTGTACAGTGAGTTTCGCTGAAGCGTTAACGCTCCCCAGTAAATTTTTAGCTTCACAGCTGTAGACTCCCTCATCTTCAGGCCTCACGTCCTTCAAAATCAGAGCACCACTGGACTCTACCTTGTGACGTCCCACAGGAAGCCGCGAGTTCATCTTAGACCACGTGATCTGTGGAGTCGGATTTCCATCTGCTGAACATTTCAAGATGGCTGTCTGACTTTGATTGACAGTTGTTTCAACAGGACTCTGCAGCAGAGAAGGAGCCGTAATGGACTGGCCCGGCTCACCCTTGGTTCCCGTTTCACCTGGTGGGCCTCTAGGACCCATGGGACCAGGGATCCCCGGTACTCCGATATCACCTTTAGTGCCGACGGGTCCTGGAGGTCCTATTGGCCCATGTTTACCTGGAGGTCCTTCTGGCCCGGGCCTCCCTGGGGGGCCTGATCTCCCTCGGAATCCGGGTCTTCCCCGTCGCCCTGAATTACCTTTTGGTCCTGAGAGGCAAAGCTTTTCATCTTTTGCACAGAATTGGTTTTGCAGCAGACGAAGCTCTTCTTTGATGAGTAGTTTTACTTGGGATGCAGTTTGGACCGATGATGGCTGTGAATTATCGGGTGATGCTCGTTTCTGTCTTGAATTGATGTTTTCATACCGGCCAAGACCTTTCAAAAATAATGAAGACCTTTCTGAGCATTACTGAAGTAGAAAGATAAAAGTGAAAGTTGAAAATATACACACATCCAAAAACAAAGCAAAACAAAAAACGGCGGTCGCTTCATAAAGATTTTCTTCCTGACGTAACCTCAGTTAGCATACAAAAATAGACTTTAAGTTCTTAATATGCTAAAGTTCAGTTCAGCTCAGGTGTAGCCTCAAGGAAATAAGGACTATTTGGTGTTCGATATTAGCCCTGAATTATTTTATAGCACTTAATTTATTGTATGTGGAAGAAGGTTTTTTTATCGTTCACTCTAAATCAAAACGTGCAGAGCTGCTTTACTGAACTGGAGGACTGGACTGACGGGTGGGTTTGCAGGACAATTTACTCTTCTGGCAGTTGGCTTTTGTATTCTCGTGTTCGTGACAGCTTCCCATACAAGCCTCTTGAGTCCCCTCCTTTCAGATTCTAAGGGTAGTCGGAATAACATTATGAAAATACAAATGCTCACATACTAAGCAAGAATGATTTTCATAATGGAAGGATCTGAAACAAGCTGATAATAACTCTGTGTGTTTGAATTATAAAACTGTTCCTCACCATTTGTCCTCTGTAAATGACCTTTTACTCCACCAGCTTTCGTAAATTGCCGTCGTTCGTAATTCTGCTGAACTTTCTGGAGAATCTGCGTTTGCATTTGATCACATAATGTTACTGAATGTGACATCAGTCGATGATGTTCTTGTATGCATAGTTCCACGTGAATTAGTGCCATACAACACACAAGAGACAACAGCAAAGCTGTCACGGAACACAAGCTGTTAAGTGTTTTCCTATGGCTTGGCTGCTTATCTTCTTCAATCATTTGTTTCATATTTAGCCGCCGGGTTTGGGAAACAGACAACGTCAAGCTTAAGTTAGCTGTGATGGGGTTGAGTAAAACGTCTCTACGGACTAAAGCTCAATACAGAGTTGTTTTTTAGTGATTGCAATAGCGAAAGCTACAGCGCCTAGTGATTGCACCCCTGAAAAGGATACAACCCACTAACCAGTTGTAAGTGATATGATGGAATAATCTCTTGACCTGTCCGGTAATATGTACACATAAAGGTCAAAAACTTGGCCAAATTTCAAAGCTAAATGTACTTGTCAATGATTATTTCACAATTTTGTGCCTCCTCCACGTGCTTTCCCAACAGGGGCACCCAACGACAATTTTCGGAAAAATATCTGTTCGGAAGACGATTTGAGATCTAGAATTTTCGGAACATTTGTTGTAAAATTTCTTGCTTGCCTGCCTCTCCTAGGATTTTCGGACATCTAAAAAATGGTATAATTGCCTATTTTTAACGGATTTTTACTCTAAAAAGGTCACCTAGAATTTTCGGGAGCCTTTTTTCGGGCTGAAATTTTCGAAAAGTTAAGTTTTGATCCCTATAATTTTCGGATCACTAGACTTTCAGCTAGGAAATCCGAACAGATGAAAAATTTTTAGGGGATAAAAATATGCCTATATCTACCGTTTAAATACTAAAATACGTTTAACTATGCTATGTGGTTTTGAACTATATTCTCGTTGGGTGCCCCTGTTTCCCAAGGAAGTTAGGCTTTGTTCGCACTATACTGGGCAGCTTTTGCGCCGACACGAAAATCATACCGGACAGGACTTCTGTTTGTCTGCTACACAGCCTTTTTTAGTGTCGTCACGCAATGCTCCTCCCCACAGAGAGGAGCGTTGCGTGACAGCACTAAAAACGGCTGTGTAGCAGACTAGACTTCTGTTCGCACATAGGAACGGTTGCCTTTGTCGCAGACGCTCTAAACCTTCTTCTATACAAATGGTTTCGACGAGTGTCTGGGCCAGCTGCAACGCAAGCTAAGGAACGGTGATTTCGGGGCGATTTCTGTAACGGAGCGAAGCTGCGCTTCGCCGATTTCTAAAGTGGAGCGTCACATATCGGATAGGTGTTCATACTACACTGGATAACTAGCTTTTCGTTTCGGTAGTGAACATAGCCTTGGTGATGAGCACACGGGATTACCGGTGCCGGAGACAAGCGAGGAGCGCGAGTGGAGGATGATAGAAGCGAGAAAAAAGTAACAGCCGGGATTTTTCTCCCCTTTTCATCACTCTGTGCCACCTGCTTTCCTTAACCAAATATCCTCCTCCAAAAAGGTGATCCGTAGCGACTGGGGACGACCATCTTTAACAAAACTTTTGTTCAAAAGAAACTGACAGAAACCCCGCAGGATCGTCCCCTTTTGGCGTATGTGCCACCCGAAAGGGAATGCAAGTTTTTCAAGGTCTGGAGGTCGTAAAAAGGTAAACCTTTACGATTTAGCGTCTTAAACAGGTTGTAAACATACGCGGTGCGTGGTCTTCTGGTGCCGCGGTACCAACATTTTTCTGTAAAAGTCTAATTTTATGATGCCAGTTATACATTAAAAAGTAATACTTTCAGTTTGTGAAATGAAAATCAAGGCAAGATGCTTACGATGTTAAACAGGGTGCTATAATTTAGCACACATGTCAATTTTTCTGATCCATCTCCATACGCATGTCGTGGGAGAATTGTTTTGCGGTTCCCATCCAACAGCTACCATATGTGTACGGTGGAGCTGACGCTTAAAGGAATGCTTTTGCAACCTCGTCGGCAGTAATGAGTGCGGTGGACAATCGCAGAGGAAACCTAGGAGGATAGCCTTCCCAGACTGCGAGAAATTCCGCTGAATTGAGAAAGCGCGAACACAAACTTAACAAGCGGGAGGAAACCGGGCCCCGCCAACTTTTTGCGTCCTTTTTTTCGCGTCTTCCCCACTACTTGAGAGCCTGGAACAGGCTATAATGAACGAAACAGTTGCCCATGGCTGCCACTGCCGGGGTTATATGGCCGTGCGCATGCGAAAGGCACTGGCCATACCGTGGGGCTGGTACTTGGGTTTCAGTGCTTAAATTGGTATTTCTAAAATGAGGGCTGCAGTCTTAAACGGGGTCTCAGAAAGGTCTCTTGTCTTAAACGGGATAGCAAAAATAAAGTGTCTAACCGAATTCCCGAAGGGGTCGATAGGACACCTCCACCCAAACTTGTCTTAAGTGCCCCCTTTAGGTTTGGCTTTTTCTGTAAAGTTCGTCACGTGGGTTTTAAGACATTTGATTTTTTTTTTGTCGCTGATGGAAAGATAGCACCAGAAGCATTTTAAGAATATCACGATTTTACACAATTAATCGCTCAATGGGGGGAATACTGCAGAAAAAGTTAGTTAAGGGGTGCAGTATACTCTTGCAAACGAGATGTCAAGCCCAAATGTATTGGTTACAGCCCTGATCCAAAATTCGATTCACTATACTCTATTTCAGACAACTGTTGCAGCACGAACACTATAATGCCTGTTCCTATTTACTCATCAGATCAGCTGCTTTGTTGCGTCAACATTTGAGAACAAGTTGGACTTCAAATTTTATTAAACAAAAAGCAGTTCTCAAGAGAAATTCTTAACATTTCTAGACCAAACAGTACTCTAATTCGGACAGCAACGATTAAAAAATATACGGTCCAATTGAGTTTTTTTAGGGCTAAAAAAAACATACGATTTTGGGTACACATCAAGTAAACATACTTTGTGGCAAAATGATGAAGGGGCCGGTGGGGGCACAATCACATTATCAATACAGTAGCTGGATTTATACCGCCCATACAGTTTACTTCCAATTTTCTTAGGTAAAATTAAGAATCAAAGTTAGGGATATGAAGTAAATCATATAAGAACTGCGGAAATGGAATCAAATGAAGAATGGTCCTCGCCGTTGTGAACGCAATTTATGCAATTGCGGAGGACTTCAACGGGGTTTGAATCCGTGACCTCGTGATACCGGTGCGATGCTCTAATCAACTGATGATAGGAGCTGGTCAATTATGTGAATTAACTAGCCCCCAACGTCAGTGGCTTCATCGCTCAGTTGGTTAGAGTATCGCACCGGTATCGCGAGGTCACGGGTTTGAAGTCCTGAATTTTTTCAGGCTTCTTATGCAAATGCATAAATTGCGTTCACAACTGCGAGGATCATTCTTCATTTGAAAGATAAACCTGGTCACTAGCTTCCTCTGATTATCCGTCTATTGAACGTTACAGTGCTTAGCACAGAAATTCTACAGAGTAAATGTCTCTAAACGTAAAAAAGTAGTTAAACCCTTGATGTACTTTTCTAACTTCTTATCCTACTGTTTCAAAATTGACTTTTGTAGTACTGAAATTCATAATCATTTACTGGTATATATAATTTTTGCTGACTGTAATAAAATTACACAAGAGCTTCATGATCCTTTGAATGAGCTTCGAAATATGTTATACAGAACCTAGCATTGATCATTTGAAAAATAGTTCCGATGAAAGACAGTTTTCAAACTTTTCGTCCGCTGTAAAAGTTAATGGTTATGCAATGCCAAAGCATTTCAGTTCCCCCAGAGTGTGGTAACCCTCCTCTTCAGTCCTCACATCTCCAAACCTGAGCTGTTTTACTGGAAGCTTTGTTTTGTCAGTCAGGAGACCGCTGTCCTCGCGCCATTTTGCGTCATTCTTATCACAGTTACATCGTTTACTGGAGTCTGCACATGAGTTGTTAATCCCGCATGCGCACTTACCACTGCCAGGTGACGCTCCACCCCAGTAGGTCATCTTAGCAGAATCACGTGACACCCACCATCCTTCTTGATTGCTTCCCCACCAGAGTACCGAATCATAGCACTCATACTTGATAAACTGCTCACATTGTGAAGAGACTTTAGTGAGACTTGCCAGCTGAGACAGACTCGCTCCTGTGTAATGAATGTCACGTGAGTAACACCCACTATGTTCACATCCATCGACATGTGTTCTACTCTCACTGTCGTGACTAATAACTGTAACGCCGACACCACCTTTTTCAGTCATGTCACAATAGGCCTTAAATGGTGCCAGGCCTTTCTCGCCATCTGGATCAATTTCGTAAGTTCCGCTTACACTGCTGATGTATTTTTTAACTTCAGAACAGGAAGCGGTAATCGGAGCATTGATTTTAACTTTAGCTTCTATTGTTGTTAGGGCATTCCTAGCTCTGCAGGTGTAAGAGCCTTCAGAGGACTTTCTGGTGTTCTCAATAACTAGAGTGCCTCCATGAAGAACTTGCGTATTTGCTGGAAGTACACTGGCGCCATTCTTTAACCAAGTAATTGTAGTACTCAGGTTACTCTCGGCCGCACACTGCAGACGGAGAGTTGAACCAAAGTAAGGAGTCACTTGTTGTCGAGGACGGACTTTGAACCGCAAAGAAGAGTATACAATAAGTTGAGCACTGTCTATCGCCGAACCGAGAATATTCTGTGCTTTGCAAATGTATGTTCCACTATCGTTTTTTGTGACTTTGAAGATTTTTAGGGTTCCATCTTGCACATGGATTCTGCCTCCAGGTAAACTTCCGTTTACCTTGGACCACGTGATCTTAGGTGACGGCTGACCAGTAGCTTTGCAAGCAATGGTGACCTTTTGATTCTCTTCAGCCCTCAGTAGATTGGATGACAATGAAAGTTGCGGACCAACTGGCGAAAAATAGAGAATAAAGTTTGTTTATTAAGAGTGAATGAGTGTCAGAAAACAAAAGGAAAGTGATCGTCAAGTGAAAAGAATCAGCTCATTTCGAAAATAAGTTGATTGGAACTTCTTAAAATCTCAAGTATGCTTTCTGAAATAACTTATTTTTTTAGTGAGGTTTTGTTGTTTACATCGGACCTAAACGAAGTTGAAAGCGATATAAATCTTGCTGCAATAACTAAACAAAGCTTTGCTATTCTCATTCGTATAAAAGCTGCCGCTTGACGATTTAATCAACTAGATTACTGCGTGCTCCCTCGGGAAGCAGTCTATTGGTCCTTTACGGTCCCCAGGGAAATTCCCTAGGCCTTTTATACGCCCTAGCAAACAAATTCGCCGTCTTCTCGCAAGTCTACTCTACAACGGGCAAGCAAGTTTCCCCACCCACCTCCCCTTCAGCGGCGCTGGCAAGTTTTCTCTATCAGCCCACCCTATGCCTATGGAAAATTTTTCACCCATAACGTATCCATCAAAAGGCATAAGGTGGCTTTTATACGAATGTGAATTAGTTACTATTTATTGCCGATATATCAAATTGTAATTCTATTCGTTTCAGAAAATTTATCCCTGGTTATAGTGTACTTACACTGTACAGTGAGTTTCGCTGAGGCGTTAACGCTCCCCAGTAAATTTCTAGCTTCGCAGCTGTAGACTCCCTCATCCCCAGGCCGTACGTACTTCAAAATTAGAGCACCACTGGCCTCTACCACGTGGCGTCCCACAGGTAGCCGCGAATTCAGCTTAGACCATGTGACTTGCGGGGTTGGATTTCCATCTACTGCGCATGTCAAGATGGCCGTGTGGTTGTGATTGACAGTTGTTTCAACGGGACTCTGCAGCAGAGAACACAGGGTGAAATAAGGCGTTTCCGTATTTCGGAAATCTTGCGGAAATCTGATGGTTCAAGTTTCCGTCACATTTCCGGAGGGCGGAAACACGTAAGAGCAAAATGAGGTCGCGTTTCGCGTTTCCGCAGTTAATCCGCCCGCCCGCCCTTAGCCTGCGTAGCAGGAGCTTGGAAGTAGTGGACGAAAGAGAGAACGTCTCCTTCGCGGGCGCCCGTTTTTTTCTTGTGCGCACTACTTCCAGGCGCCTGCTACGCGGGCTAGCCCGCCCCAACGGCGGATATGAATGAATAAATTGAAAGAAAAAGAGAAATCTCAAAAAGGAGAGAGAAATCTTATTTCTTATTGTAAAATTCTTAGCTGCGTTACCTCACTTCTTAGCCCCTTGAAATTTTTGGTTTTCGGCGTTTTTGTGGCCTTGTTGAGTTGCATAAGCTCTCTTCCAATATTTTATTTTGTTCATTTTCGTTTCTCAGTCGTATTTGTCCAGATCGTGACAGTCTTGTCAAGGACGCTGTAGATCTTGCAAGCCAGATATCCAAGAAAAGTCCAATCGCCATGTCAGGAACAAAACACAACCTGAATTACTCAAGAGATCATTCAACCAAGGAAGGGTTAGAGTACATGGTAAGTTTTTAACGGATGCTGTTCGAGTGTTCCTTCTTTTCTTTTGAGAAAAGATCCGCGTGTGCTAACGCGAGTGAGCGTGAATCTCCTCCCACGAGGAACGGTCTTTGCTTTATATTATCTTTGCTCCGGCGTGTCGAGCTCCTCGCGGTAAGGGAATTTTTAGTAAAGATGAACATTTCACAAGTATAGTACTGTACACTCGTATTTATTCCTGGGTGCTTACGCGAGTGCGCTAGAAACTAGGTTGCCGCGAGGAACGCGCCTCACGTTGTCCTCGCACCTCCGCGTCGTGTATCTTCATAGGACTTTATTTTCTTAAACTGTACCTCACTATTTTAGGGGATAAAATTGACCTGTAAAACGAAAACTATATATGTAAACTTTAGCCAGGCTTGCTTTAGTGCTTCGTTTCACAAAAATTGGCTGATTAGATCCACCAGGACTGATAATTATCAACCTTAACTCTTGCTGCTAAAGTATTTATCCTTTTGTGTCAGAAGGCTGACACAGGGGGAGGGGGTGGGGTGTGTAGTAGCGAAATATAGAATGACCACGCTCCTTTTGGGGAGGAGGGTGGGGACTAGAAAGGAAGTTTCCTCCAGCCCCTCGAGGCTTATAATTCTGCGTTTCCTCTGAGTTTCATTGAGAAGGAGTGAATAATTTTTAATCGCTTCAGTTTTAATATGAAAACAAAAACGCTAAGGGTTGGTCGAATTGCCTCTTTTTCTAGGCCACTTGGAACATGGCCATGCTGCAAACAGAGGATATTCTGAAAGCTGTGCAAGCTGGAATGAGCAAGGAAGAGGCTGTATTTTCAAAACTTTAAACTTATTAAATAATCTTAACATTTTAACTAGTAATCTGAAGTCAAAGACATTATCCTCCAAATTATTAGCTAGACAGAAAGGTGTCATTCATTTTAGCCCTCTCTCATTCATTAACTGAACTATCAGCCTTATAAGCGACATAAACAACTGCTATCGATATCCCCACTTACAGAGCAGCATGTTGCTACTCATTGCTACTTTACAGTGCTACGCCAGAAGATACATTGTTACATGAATGGTAATTTACCCGATAACAAAGTTTTTAAATGACTATAGATCGTAATGTCATGCAATACCAAAGCACTTCAGTTTCCCCAGAGTGTGGTAACCTTCCTCGCCACTACCCACATCACCAAACCTGAGCTGTTTTACTGGAAGCTTTGTCTTGTCAGTGAGAAGACCGCTGTCCTCACGCCATACACTGTCATTCGTATCACAGTTACAACCATAACTGGAGACTGCACATGAGTTGGTCATCCCGCATGCGCACTTACCACTGCCGGGTGACGCTCCACCCCAGTATGTCATCTTTGCCGAATCACGTGACACCCACCAAGCATATTCCCAACGGAATATCACTGAATCGTAACACTCGTACTTGATGAACTGCTCACAGTGTGAAGAGACTCTGGTGAGACTCGCCAGCTGAGACAGACTCGCTCCTGTGTAATGAATGTCACGTGAGTAACACCCTGATGGATCACATCCAGAAACATGTGTTCTGCTCTCACTGTCGTGGCCAATGACTGTCACGCCAACTCCACTTTTATCAGTCATGTCACAGAACACCGTGAATGGTGCCAGACCTCCCTTGCCATCAGGATCAATGACGTAATTTCCGCTTACACTGCTGATGTATTTTTTAACTTCAGAACAGGAAGCAACAATTGGAGTGATTTTGACTTTAGCTTCTATTGTTGTTAGGGTATTGCTGGCTCGACAAATGTAAGATCCTTTTTGAGTTTTCTTGATATTTTCAATAACTAGAGTGTCATCTTGAAGAACACGAGCGTTTACAGGAAATACATTAGCGCCATTCATTGTCCAAGCAAGTGTGGTACTCAGCTCACTCTCGGCCGCACACGGCAGACGGAGAGTGGAACCAATCACAAAAGTCACCTCTTGTGGAGGACGGACTTTAAACTGCAATGGAGAGAATACCATAACAAGGGTTGTGGCTGTTGCTGTTCCCAGAATATTCTCTGCTTTACAAATGTATACTCCACCATCTTTTTTTGTGACACTGTAGATTTTCATGGTTCCATCTTGCACCTTGATTCTGCCTCCAGGTAAACTTCCCACTGCCTTGGACCACGTGATCTTAGGTGACGGCTGACCAGTAGCAGTGCAGGCGATGGTGACGTTTTGTTTCTCTTCAGCCATCAGTCGATTGGATGACAATGAAAGTTGCGGTCCAACTGGCAAAAAAAGGAAATCAGGGCCAGTTGTTAAAGAAAGTCTGAGTTAGAACGCAGAAAATCAGTGACCCCTCAAAATGTGTTTGCAAGTACAGTGGACTCCCGATAACTCGAACCTTCAAAGGAAATCGAAAAAGTTCGAGTTTTCGGGAGTTTGAATCAAATAACCGGAAATAAGGAAATTAGCAAATTGATGGGAAGGAAGTATAAGTATACAGGAATGGACACTGAATTTGAACTGGAGTGGCAAAAAAGTAAAGACAAAGAATTTACTCGGTTGTTTTGAAATAAATTCAATGTTTCGGACTTCAGTACACGGTTTTTTTCCGGACTTGTCACGCGCTTATAACATGGTACGAGTTATCGAGGGTAAAGTTGTATAGAAATGAGCTGAAGGGAAACAAAAATTACTTTGAGTTAGCGGGAGGTTCGAGTTACCGAGGGTAAAATTGCAGTAAATGTAAGAAGGAAATCCAGGAGAAATCGACTTTGGTTTGAGTTAGCGCGAGGTTCGAGTTAGCGGGAGTCAACTGTAGCTTATTTTAAGTAGACAAATGGTTTTGTAGCCTGCGTTACGTTGTTGCTCTTCTTTATACTATCCACACTAAACGATATCCAGATACAGATCTGATTTAGCAAAATTGAATTCGACAAAAAGCATGTTTTTCAGTTAAGCACTGTCTAAATTATGTTTTAATACCACATGATTCAAAGTTTAATATCCAATCGTAACCGGTGACATAATATAGGAATTTTTTTATGTTTTGTTTAAGGAGCTTTTTAATCACGGTCTATCCAACCTGTCTTTTTGAAGTTAAATTTCACGACTCCGCTGGTAATTGTCGATTAATAAAATTCTTAGTCCACTTTGATTTTTAATTAAATTGACCAGGTCGACTTACACTGTACAGTGAGTTTAGCTGAAGCATTAACGCTCCCCAATAAATTTCTAGCTTCACAGCTGTAGACTCCCTCGTCTCCAGGCCTCACGTCCTTCAAAATCAGAGCACCACTGGACTCTACCTTGTGACGTCCCACAGGAAGCCGCGAGTTCATCTTAGACCACGTGATGTGTGGAGTTGGATTACCATCTGCTGAACATTTCAAGATGGCCGTCTGGCTTTGATTGACAGTTGTTTCAAGAGGACTCTGCAGCAGAGAAGGAGCCGTAATGGACTGGCCCGGCTCACCCTTGGTTCCCTTTTGACCTGGTGGGCCTCTAGGACCCATGGGACCAGGGACCCCCGGTACTCCGAGATCCCCTTTAATACCGACGGGTCCTGGAGGTCCCACTGGCCCATGTTTACCAGGAGGTCCTTCTGGCCCGGGCTTCCCTGGGGGGCCTGGTCTCCTCCGGAATCCGGGTCTTCCCCGTCTCCCTGCATTACCTTTTGGTCCTGAGCGGCAAAGCTTTTCATCTTTTGCACAGAATTGGTTTTGCAGCACTCGAAGCTCTTCTTTGATGAGTAGTTTTACTTGCGATACTGTTTGGACCGATTTTGTTCGTGAATTAGCGGGAGACGCTCTCTTCTGTCTTGAATTGACGTTTTCATACTCGCCAAGACCTTTCAAAACATTAAATAAAGCCCTTTTTGAGCAGCATAAATATACATCGTACCAAAGAAAAAACAAACAAACCCCCAAACGTGAAAACAATCTAAAAAAACGGCTGCTGCCTCGACGGTTTTTCTTCCCGACACGCATCCTCACAGTTAGCATCAAAAAATAGTCTTTTTGAATTCTTACCGAGTAAAGCCAACATTGTACTCCCAGTTCAGTTCAAGTCATGTTCATTTGCTAAATAGCAAACTCCTCGTAGGTATCCCAAAGGAAGTACTGACTCATTTTGTGTTCGATAGAGCTGAATAATTTTCATTTTCATTTAATGTCAGTATAAGTGTAGCTGAAGGTTGTTATAACATCGTTCGTTCGAAATGTACAGTGATACTTTTAAACTAACTTAGGACGGGTTGTTTTCACTCCTTTTGCGGCTGCTTGTTGGCTCTTGTTGCATAGACCTTGTCACGGTTTTCGACGCCATCTTCACGAGTAGGCAAACGCGTGAGAAATTACAGTGTTTGTATGAGAATCTTATGTCGAATAATTTCCGAAAAACGGCTCTTCTGAAAAAATATGATTTGTAAACTAAAGCTTCGCTCCTAAGGATTCTACTGAAAAAATTCAAGGGCGTTACATGCACTACAAGACCTAGAACCACTTTTTAAATTTTTCATGAGAAAGTCCCGGGAAAATTACAGACAAATATATGGAAAATCTAAAGCAAGCCTCTAGAGAAATTTAAGAACAGGTACGCCCCCAAAATTGTTTAGGACAATCCTTTACTTTGTAGCTTTAGTTTACAACTGATATTTTTTCAGAACAGCCGTTTTGTGGAAATTATTCGACATTAGTTTCTCATACAAACACTGTAATTTCTCACACGTTTGCCTACTTGTCAAGACGGCGTCGAAAACCGTGACAAGGTCCGATTCTGTTCTTGACAGCCTCACCGATTATAAGCCTGTGCTCTTATTGCGGATTCTAAGCGGGTAGTCGGAACGAATTTTGAAGATAAAGCTCCTCAGTATGTTAAACAAGGACAATTTTCTTAATCGCCAGGATCTGGAACAAGCTGATGTTAACAACAAAAACCAGAAAATTTTATGAAACTTTTCCTTACCATTTGAACCCTGCAAATGACCTTTTATGCCATCAACTTTCGTAACTTGCCATTCTTCGTAATTCTGCTGAACTTTCCTCAGAATCTGCGTTTCCATCTGATCACAGGCTGTTACCGAGTGTGATATCAGTCGATGATGTTCTTGTATTCGGAGTTCCATGTGAATTAGTGCCATACAACACGCAACAGACAACAGCAGCAAAGCTGACACAGAACACAAGCTGGTCAGTGTTTTTCTGTCGTTTTTCTTCTTGTCTTCCTTACTAGTCGGCTGTTTCATGTTTAAAACAGTTTTCAGAGATACACAGCGTCAATTTCGAGATAAC